GGTTGATGAGTTTGTAATAAGAACGGCTGCGGCTGCTGCTGCTGCTGTGACCAGGCAGCAGGCTGGAGCTGGAGGTGGAGCCCAGAGGACCGTCCTCGGCGTGGATGGTGGGCAGGTGGGTTTTGCTGCCGTGCTGGTTGCTGTGTTTGAGAGTGAGAGACCTGGAGCTGAGGGTCAGAGAGTTGAGCTGCAGCAGGGAGGTGGAGGTGGAGTTGGAGGTGGAGGGGGAGGTGGTGTTGATGGTCCTCTGACTGCCTCTCAGAGAACTCTCCTTGGACCCAGAGCAGGAGTCAGGACCCGGGTGGACCACGTGCTGCTCTGACGCTTTCAGCAACTACGGGAATAAAAACCAACAACGGTCAAAAAATTCACACATCACATTCGCGACTTCTTCCAACTCACGATCCGCCTTAAAAGCACCTGCTCTGGAGGAATGGGAGAGGATCCTCTGGATATAGCCTCCAGGACCGGTCTTAGCTGTGGCACAGTGGGAATGGAAACGGGGATGATGGATTTGGTCAAATGTCCCAGGTCTGCAGGAGGAATCAGCCGGAGATCAGTCAGATTAGAAGACCACAAACCTACGCAACAATAATCCAAAAATATAATGCAACAAAATGAATTATGTTCCTGAGGAAACTACTGTGAAGTTTAGTAGGACGACGTTATCGAGATTACTGTGGATTGCACTGGATTATGGATGTTCATTCTTTCTCTAAAATTAAAAATAAATATCACTTAATTATATATATATTTATATATGTATATATATATACTGTATATATGTAGTTATATATATTTATATATGTATATATATTTACTGTATATATGTAATTATATATATATTTATATATGTATATATATTTACTGTATATATGTAGTTATATATATTTATATATATTTCTAGAGGCGCAATGACAGAGCCAGAGGGAATGTCTCAGTTATCGGTGGGGACCTGCAGGGGTCACTGCCTGAAATATATATGTATTTATATATTTATATATGTTATAGATATACATATATACATATATTCATATATATTTATATTTTTTATACATACATACACACATATATATACACATACATATATATATGTGTGTGTATGTTTTTACTCTGTCGGCTCATTGTACATACAGTAATACTGCAGTCTGGTTATCACACTGAGTACGGCTCATTTCTAAAGTACCATCTGTCAGGTGGCTCTTCCTCAGGCTTTGTTCTGGTTTGGGCGGCAGCGGCGGTGGACCTGACGTCTGGTGCTTCGTGTCCGGCAGGTTCACCGCTCTGACTGAGGATTGCTGACAGAATAAAAAAAAATAATAACGTTTAAGACATTTTCTCTCTTGTTGTCCCACAGTGACCAGAGGAGCAGCGAGGTCATAGTCAACTACAGGTACTTTAGTGTGAAAGTTTGGACTCTGGATCCCATTGTCGCCGACTTTCTCTGACATCGGCCTGTCCAGTCCTGGTCTCAGGAACGGGGTTTGGATCTTGACCTGT